CAACCCTCTCAACCACACTTCGAATGTTGTATATAAAAATGTTTTCTTGAATTTATGATTTTATTTTTGTTTTACTAATATCATGCATTCTTGATTGATGAAATATACTCCGTATAATGTGGATTACACATGCACTTTATATAGACTTGAAGTTCAATGACCTATCATATGCCTGTAATTATGTGTTATTTATTTTTTTCATTATGTACATTATTGGATAATATTTTCACCGTACATCGCACGGATTAGAAATATTGGATAATATTTTCACCGTGCATCGCACGGGTTAGAATATAGTATATATAAAAGCTGATGAGAAATTTTTGCCAAAATCAGGTTCCAATTTTGCCGCCAAAAACTAAGATCTAATGGTCCAATTTTTATCTAAATATTCTGCACAAATTTAGACCGTTGATTAGATTAAATGGCAATTGTGTAAAAAAAACAAACTTGATGGCTATTATTAATGAATTCTAGCACGGCAAAGTCTGGCCCCTTTCCCTACACATACACCTATCCTGCCCTCAATTATTGCTGCACAACCCAACATTTTCTGGCAAGAGACATTGCCGGCGACATTTCCCGGCAGGGATGAAGAAGGGAAGATGAAAGAAATACTCCCCCATCCCAGTGTATTAAAAAGTCAAACTGGACAAACTTTAAACTTTAATTAAATAAAAACCGTAATGTATTTTAACATAAAAATGACTTTATAGGATTTATCGTATTGAGAACTTTGAAAATTGTATTTCATTATGCTAATATGAAATATAAATTGAGAGTAATTGGAGTTTAAAGTTTGTCCAGTAACTCAAAAAAGTCAAACTGGACAAATACACTATGACGGAGGTAGTAAATAAAAAATTTTAAATTCAGGGGTACTTAACTTAATTCATTTTGATAAAGAAAATTTATCAAGAAAAGAAAATGAAAAAATTATTTGTGGACGGACCGAAGAAAAGTATACGTGAACTTAAAAATTGAACGTAGGAAATATTAATTTTTGTACTAGCATCATTATTTTATCTTGCCTTTCATTTTTCTAAATTGAATGAGCTATGTTTTATTATTATATTTATTGAATGAAACATATTTTAATATTAAATAAGATCATTATATTTTTTTCCCTTTTAAATTAAACTAATTTATGTTTTTTGTTATGGTATAAAAGTAAAAGCATATATGTAAAACTCAAGACAGAATTAGTGCTATTTGTAATGTATTTTTATGAATTTTTCACAATTGGCGGTAGAGTTGTGCAATAAATTATTTACTGTTATTATTACAATTATTAATCTTATTTATTTTTTTTATTTTTTTGATTGTATAAAAAATCAAACAAACATAAAAACAAAAATTGACTTGGTTTTTTTTATTTTTCTATCTCATATTCTTTCAATATTTATTTTATATCTCTTTTTTTCTTTTTTTTTTACTGTCAAAAAAAAAAAGAAAAAAAGAGATATAAAATAAATATTGAAAGAATATGAGATAGAAAAATAAAAAAAAATACCAAGTCAATTTTTGTTTTTATTTTAAAAAATAGAATTTAACCTGAGTAGAAATATGTAAATATTAAATAAAATTAAAAATATAATCATTACAGTGAAAATGAGACATTACATACGAGTGTGAATTGAGTTAGATTATGAGTGTAACCAATGTTGATGGTAGCATTCGGAGTTTCATTTCAATTCATATTTTTTCCTGATCTATTAGATTAGAAATGTTTCTCTTTATAATGTTTGTTGACAATGTAATCTCAAAGTATAAAATTGGATTTGGATGTTGACAAGGTATCTAGATCAATTTTATCTCATTATTGAATATTGATACAGTTTTTTTTATTAAAGTTAATTTTAATTCAATTTGTTTGGGAAATTGATATTGAATTAAAAGATACTCTGAGTAAAATTTTATATATTATTCTGAATGTTGTATTAAGATGTTTTTTCCACTGTATTGATAAAGTAAAAAATTGTTTTTCACCTATTTTGTATATTTTAAATTGGCACACTTATCAGTATACTTAAAGTAAAATCGTGGTTCCTTTACAGTAAGTTACAATATGTAATTTCTCGTTCTCAGTAACTTCAAACAATCTCTATAAAATCCTTCCTGTGTTGAAAGTCACAACTTTGTATTTTTTATTTATATTCGGTGTTTATTGAAGATTTGAAATACATGTAGGCAAAATCTTATAGAAGTATTTAATCCAGATTTCTAAAGATTACGTGATATATATCATATTCCGTGAATGACATAGAATCAATGAATTATTTTAACTCTATTTGTAGTTAAAAATAAAAATCATTTTTCTTACAAATTGATATAAAAATAAAAATATAAATTACATTGTTTAAAAATATATAAAAAAATTTTATAAAATAAGAGGTGACAAGAAGATAACAATCATGCTAACAATCTGTGTAATTAAATACAGTAAATTGTTACAAGACTTGGTAACCGTCTCTTGGAAGCAAAAATGATTCACGGAAAAATGCAGGACAAGCTCTTATGATCATGCGAGTTTCATTAACTTTTTCAAATACAATATTGTCATTTAAGTTTCAAAGAAGATAATTTTAGATTATGGTATCGTACGCGATTACCATAAACAAAAGCCATGAACAATCTTTCTCATGTTGGCCTGTTCTTGAAATAATCAGTTTTCAGTCACAGACAGCTGTATGTAATGATGTCTAGGGTACGCTCTTGCATTACGTTGTTTAAAAATAATGATATGTAATTTTAAAAATACTCCAGCTGACACTACAATAAATGTAGTTTATGAGGAGGTATTTGAGAATAATTAATTGGTCAGTTTTTAGTCTTTCATTTTCATATTATCTAATTATCCTTCATTTTCATATTATCTATTGAACATAGTACTATTGATTTCTCTCACTTTTATAATTTGTATGTCTATGCCAATTAATAGAAATGAAAATATTTATAAATTGAAGTGCTTACCTATATACTATTTTCAAAATAATACCCAATAATTTAATATTTCATATTTAAAATATTTTTCACAATTAGGATAAGGTTTTTTACCGTGCATCGCACGGGTGATGTACTAGTTTAAATTACTATTTATTGAAAACAATACTTCACATAATTTTTTATTTTATCAAATACATATCAAAAATTAGTAAAAAAAATTAAACTCTTTTAGTCGGAGTTTAATTAAAATGGATAATATGATTTATGGTTCTATTTCACGTGTCACAAATCGACAGGGTTTGAAGATTTTGAGTTGCGATGAAGAAAACAATCCATTGGAATATACTTGGAATGTTGTGTAGAAAGAAGTTTTTCAGAATTTATAATTATACATTTTTATTTAACTAATATCATGCAATTTACTACATTAAACCAAAAAAATTAGTATACATTTAAAAAATTGTGAGTTATCATTATATGAGTAATTATGATCTATTTTCATCTTTTATAATCTATGCACATAATGTTCTTGTCGTGCATCGCACGGGTTAGAATCTAGTTATAAGAAAGGGACATTTTATGTCATGAAGTTATTTGGGGTATCGAATGTACATTATATTTTCCTAATGTTTCATTTCCAAATTTAAACTGTTTTAACTTTTAAGCCGTGAAATTTGAACTAATCATTCTCATACGGAGTTAACATGGCGTTAATTTTAGTTCCAACGGACAAAATTCGAATATTTACGTAATGAACGAATCACATTAATGACCATTGAAGATAGTGGTTGCAACCAACCGAAATACAGATATGATTTATACATACACGAATAATAATTATTTGTATTTATAGATGATTATAATAATTGTGTGTATGTATAAATTATTTGTGAGAAACACAAATAGAGTCCAGTCAAATACACCGACAATGATCGTTTGTGAACAGAGATATTATTGATTTGTATATAAGAATCATCTGTGAGACATGGTGGATTACTAGCATGATTTAACATAAAAAAAAAACTCGATTAAAAAAAATCTTATTTGAACTCGAGATGACATCAAGTTTGACACCAACAAACACAACGATGTAGAGGTAGACTATATAGTCATTGTTTATGAAAGATTCATGTTAAAATTCAGAAACTTGACATTGAGTATGACACTAAGAGATACATTGATATTTGTTATCTAAGATCTACAAACAGTCATTGTTTGTGCACATCTGTGAACAAACTTTTGAAGTCGAATTTAATACTCCATTTGTCTCACAAAACATTACTCATTTTGAATAGTATTTGATCAAATAGTTACTCGTTTTTACTACAAATTGTGAGAAAAGTATATTAAATCATAATATAAATTTAATATAATTAGATTTATCTTAGGATCTAGTTTTGATATATCAAATTTTTATAACATTTTTTTATTTAAATTATATTTAATTTATGATTAAAGCATGTAACTGTTTGACAAAAAATACATCAAAAGAAGTAATGTTTTTGGGATGGAGGGGGTAAGTTTTTAGTACTCCCTTTGTCCTTCAAAGATTTTTCTATTACGCGTAACGCGGCTTGATTGATATTATTTTTAATTCAATTTATTTACTTGTAGATATAAAATTTATATACGGAGTAGTAAAAATTGAAAAATACTACAAAACTAGATGTGACCAAATTATACTCGGTATTATTTTATGAAATTAGTAATAAACAAAAATAAACAAAGTGATTTAAAATTAATCTTGTTACGGGAAGATCATTACGGAGTATTTCTAAAACGGTAAGAAGTAACGGCTTATCCAACGTAATACCAAACATAGTCGTTTAAGAAATTAATCGAATATGACTTTCATAAATTTATCACAAAATAGGAATTCTTACTGTGACAATGTGATAAAGAAAATTCATATTACTTTTGACACTGTAAATATATTTAAAATTCTATTTCGCAAAAAAAAAACATAAAACATGTATTTTGATATTGTTTTCCATATTAAATCGGTCAATGCCCCAAATGCTAAAAGTCTAAAAACCTCTTCAGATTTCACGCCTCGCTTCCATTTATATACTCTCCGCTTCTTCCGTCTCTATCCTTTCTTTCTCTTCTTCTCTGATCTTTCACTTCTTCAGGTGAGTTCTTAAATTCATCGCTGTAGCTTTGATTTCTTTTACCGATTTTTTTAATGTTGTTGTTGATTTCCAGCTGCAATTGTAATTTCACTTTAGCTCTGCAATTGTTGGTGTTTGTTCTCTGTGTTCTAGCTTATTCAGGATTCGTTCATATTAATCCTTTGTAATTTATGAGATGAACTCTTTATTTCTGAAATTTTTGTTTATGACTTGAAATTTGAATTCTCGTTTGTAGATTTTGAATATGCAGGGAATATATATGATGAATGATTTTCTTTTTTTGTGCTTGTTTAAATAAGTATTTTCCGAATTTAAAACTGTTGGTGGGTTACAGTAGTGAGGTTGAAACTTGTATAGTTGATAAATTACCTTAAATTGATCAGCTCTTGATTGAATGAAGTATAGAACTAAACACTTTCATGGTGTCTGCCGTTTTCATTTCTAGGGGTTTCCCCCCTTTTTTCTGTTTATTTTAAGTTTAGTTTGTATGTTCTTATTGGATGAAAAATCAATCCGGTAAGTTTGATGTGATTCACTCAAATTCTTGGTTTCCAGCATGTTTTGAATAAGTTCTATTGAAATTTATTCAAATTACTTGCAAGTTATAGGTTCAATAGATTTTTTCCATTTATTTCCGAGATGCTAAATAATTTCCTGGGTTTTTTATTCATATTATTTTTTTGTTTAACCAGTTTGCAGTTGACTAAGACATAATGACTGCATTAGATGTAACACGGACGGAGCTTGCTCTTGCTGTTTTGTATCTGAACAAAGCCGAAGCGAGGGACAAGATATGCAGAGCCATTCAATACGGTTCAAAGTTCTTGAGTAATGGGGAGCCCGGAACTGCTCAAAATGTTGATAAATCGACTAGCTTAGCTCGCAAAGTGTTCCGTCTCTTCAAGGTTAGAAACGGTGGCTGCTTGTCCAACACCGACAGTTTGAGGATGGCACTGACGATTTAGTGATATATATGGCTAAAATATTGTCAAAATTGTTTACACCGACGACTTTATATATAAATGACTTTTGTTTTAATGAAAGGTTGCTACTTTATGTGTTCTTTCTCTTTCTTTTTTATTACAGTTTGTCAATGATCTTCATGCTCTTATCAGCCCAAGTGCTCCCGGAACCCCACTTTCACTAATCTTGTTGGGAAAGGTAGGAAAGTTAACTGTTACTAAGTTTTTTCTGTAATGATGAAAACCCCGCTTTGGCTTTCCTAACATTGAGACTATTAATGGTTTCAGTCAAAGAACGCTTTGCTATCCACTTTCTTGTTCTTGGATCAAATTGTATGGCTTGGAAGAACAGGCATATATAAGGTTGTAAGCTAGCTGTATCCATCGCCTTTTGGCGTTCTTGGAACGGTTTCTTTGTACATATGATGTTTGAGCTGATTCTGATGCATTTTATTGTGATTTGCCCTATAGAATAAAGAGCGTGCGGAATTGCTTGGTAGGATCTCCCTTTTTTGCTGGATGAGTTCATCAGTCTGTACCACCTTGGTTGAGGTCCACTTCTCGCCTCTTCCATCTTTTAGTATAAACTGTATAATGGTGTTGTTACAAGTAACCAATAGTTTTCTTTAATTGCATTACAGAGTATTTTATATTGTTTAACCTGCAGATTGGGGAGCTTGGAAGACTCTCAGCATCAATGAAGAAGTTGGAGGCTGAGCTTAAAAATACTGACAAACACCAGGTCTTTATATTCCTCACTTTGCTTTGGGGCATGTTTGGAACTCGGAAAATGGGAAGGAAATAAAACCTGAGGGGAAATCAAAGATAGAGTGATATACTCAAAGACAATAAATTTGTTTCAACTCATTTTATCTTTTTATTTCTATTGTAAAAAAACTTAATGGAAAGAGAATATTATTTTAAAAAAACATTCTAAGTGGACACGGGTAGAGAGGATATTTTCGAAAGAGTCATACGGTATTATTTTTGTCACATTTTAGTGCATTTGTTATTATTGCAGAACGAGCAATATCGCAATAAACTTCAGAAGTCAAATGATAGATCTATTGCACTGGTCAAAGCAGGGTTAGATATTGTGGTTGCAGTTGGGTTACTTCAGTTGGCACCGAAGAAAGTAACTCCGCGTGTGACGGGAGCCTTTGGATTTGTTAGCTCTCTCATATCTTGTTATCAGGTACCCCCCCCCCCCACCCCCACCTCAACCCCCAAAACGAGGAAGTTCACCAATAGCTCTTCAATTGTTATGCTTTGTTTGGATGTTTATAAGTATCTTATTTGGACATCTATTTTACTTTGCAGTTGCTTCCTTCACCAGCGAAGGCTAAGACAGCCTAACAGATTACAGACGCCGAATGGTTCTCCATCTGCTGCCAGAATAATTCTTCGTACTAAACGACGTGCGAAAGGGTCGGTGTTGCCTATGTTGTTTCCAATGGTTTGGTCATATGTAGCATGAAACTTCACTTGCCACACTTAAAAATTATGATCCATATGATCTTTAGCTTTTCTTCTATTTAGCCAAAACTACTAAAACAGAATATTAATTAATACTTGAGTGAGAAGTTGAAAGTTTTTTTCCCCTTTCAGTTGACATAATGTTTTGATTTGGAGTGATGCATAACAAAATCTCACCCCACTTACAAAACTGAAATCCAATTTTCTGGTTCTTACATTTTGTTTTTATTCCACTAAAAACCAGAAAACAAAAGGACAAAAAAGGATAGTCAATTGTCACAGTCCGTCGTTCCTAAATAAGCAGTAGTTGTGACATCCACAATTTTCTGGTCCTTCATTTTTTTAGACATATTTTCATCAATAAATTGATGATATAATAGTACTTGGTAATATGCTCATATCACTTTGTTTGTAAAACTTTTGATTACGTAATACTTCCTCTGCATCAAAATGATTTACCTCTTTATTAAGGAGTATTATGTGTTCTTTCGATAATTTTTATTTGCTTGCATATTTTAATAATTACGGAGTATTTGAAAAAAAATATTTTTTCATCTTTTGTTTTGAAAAACTTTTTGATGAAGTTTTAAAGTATATAACTTTTGTTTTTTTATTTCTATATCTATTTGTAAATAAAACTATACGAAAAGTTAGGCTTTGTGAGATTTTGCACGTTAATTGAAGAGGATAATTAATTTAAAGATAGATGGAATAGTACTCCCCTTGTCCTAAGAAAGTTTTTTAGTTTAATTTGGTACAAAAAATTTAAAGAAAGTAAAAATGTGTGGATGAAAATGATGCAAAGAAGAGAAAAATTGTAAATCACTTGGTGTTTTCCATAAAAGAAAATAGAGTTTTTTTTTAACATCACAAAAGCAAAATAAGGAGTTTTTTAGGAGAGTATTGTTTTATAAACTTTTAATTTAATTTTTAATTATATAGTGCTCGTACATACTCTCACCGTCCCTGAGTATTTGTCTACTTTTAACTTTTTTTATCAAAGTTGGTAAACTTTGACCTTAAATTAAATAAAAATGATATTAGATATTGATACAAAAAGAGTTTTATTAGATTTATTATATCAAATATTTTCAAAATATTATTTTATTTATTTAAAATACAATATATATTTTATTTAATTATAGGTCAAAGGTTGAAAATAGTTGACCGAAAAAGTCAAAACTGGACAAATACTTAAGGACGAAGATAATATTATTTGTATTTTTATATTTGAAAATTCAAGCAATCACTTTTTTTTGTAATTTTATATCAATTTCTATCATACAAACGTATATAACACTCCAATTTAGAGCTTTTAAACAAATCCCACAAAAAGGTATGGAATATGAATATTAACAAATCAAACCAAACAAAAAGAGAAATGCTAAAGTCACAAACACTTCGGTCACAAAATGCACAAACTTGCCATTTGTCCACCTCACCAAGTGAATAAAATGATATTAAATCATTAAAAAGTAAACATTTAAATACACAAATGGTAAGTTTATGTATTTTGTGATCAAAATGTTTGTGACTCTAGCGTTTCTCAACAGAAATGGAGTATTACTTTAGCACACGCTATTATTGATGTAAAATTCATTCTGTTCACATTACTCATGTAAAATCATTTTTTCTGCAGCACACATAAATATAAAACTTGCATTTACATGAAGTTAAAATCCAGCTCAGATTTGCTAATATCAGATGGCCATGTTCTCATCATCATCATCAGTCTCAGCATCAGCATAGCCCCATGGATACATTTCATCTGGGACATCTGGGACATCTGGCTCAATGCCAATACCCAACAAATACCCCAACAAACCCACACGTCCCTCCGCTTGGTTGAACACTCTGGAAGCTTCTTCTTCTTCCCCGTCGGCCATGGATTGCAGCATGCATTCGAACGCTTCGTGGTTGCAAGTCATTGAGAACTTTCCGGATTGTTCAAGAATCTGCACTTCAAATCCGGGGGAGAGGGGCCTGCCAATTGCTTTAACATGGCTCACACTGCACCCCGGGAAAAAAAAATCAAAGTTAGAATACAGGTGCACAAAGTATACACGTCGAGAAAGGGTCCCACTATAAAGATGTGATGTAGAGTTGGTACTGTTCATTCAAAATTTCTCCATCCGTCCCAAAATAAAGTTAACAGTTTGACATCACGGAGTTTGAGAAAAGTGCATGGTTGGAATTTGTTTTAAAGATTGTATAAACTTTATCTTGGGACATTTAAAACAAGGAAAGTGTGAACTTTATTTTGAGATGGAGTGTATTAACTAATCATTCACATTCAAAAAGTAATTAATGTTTATAAGGTCATATCCACAAAAACAATAGAATGGAACTTTTAGCTGTTAGGACAGATTTCTGGAATGCTAGGTGGTACAATAGTGTTGTAAGGTACGCGACGAAGATCTACTAACCAGATATAAAACAGCTCATCCACTTCCTGTGTCTGGACCCTACCCATCAGCTCAATCTGCAGAAACCCGCCAATGCAAAGAATAGGTTCAGGCAGCTTGAACACCTGCAAGCAGTTCTCCTGCAAACCCAAAAAAGTCATTTCAGTTGGTGTTTCATTTTCATTCTCAGAGTAGAATTGTAATATCTCATTAATGAAATGGAGATGGTTTTAGAGCTTGCTTGGGATAACAAGGGTGTTTGGGGTCGTGTTTGAAAACTGTTTTTGTGCTCCTGCTTTGCTAAAATGCAATTTAGCTTGTTTTGCAATCTGCTTCTGTTTATAGCTTATGGCTCTGTAAGTCTGAAATGGAATGCAGAAGTGTTGAAGTCTTTTTCAACAAAGCTAAGACTAAGTATTTTCTGCTTCTACTTATAACTTTTTGCCTTTTCAGGAATCTACCATACTCTCAGAAATTTGAGAAATTACAAGAGTACTTCAGATTACATGATTATCATCTGCGCTCACAGAAATTCAATGTTTTTACAATAACACTTTAAGATTGCATATTAATCACAAATACGCCTTAAAATCGGGAGTCCATGTAAACTAAAACTTCCCTTGGAGTAATACTCAGAGATTATGAGGTTTAAAAGAACACTGTATTCATTTTCACTGTTGAGCATGTGCAAGAACCAAAAGAACTGAAAATAAAGTTGGATAGAAGACTACCAAAATGCAAAAAAAACCACCTGACTCATTGGGAAATCCTGTGAAGTGTAGGTCCACACAAACTTATCATCAACTGGCAGCTGTGTAGGCAATTCCAAACTCAATATTTCAGTAGAGGATTTGGGATGGCCCACTCGAAACCGGACAGATTTTGCCGAGTATATGGGATTGCCAGGTTGAAAGAAGGCTGAACAGAAATTTCAGTTTACAGCAATAAAAAAATTTATGATATAAATAGTAACCGTGTGATAGAAGTGTGTATCCAAAATAAAGAAAATACCTTCAAACGGTTGTATTCTAAATTCAGTCACAACACCAAAGTCGGCTTTCAACTTGTATATTAAAGTCTCGGGTACATCAGGATTACGCTGTCCTTTACTCGACCAATATGAGGCCCTACGCACGTATGAATCCCTTGGATATAAAGTATTACTTATACTTTCAAGAGGGAAATTGTCTGTACTTGAAGCCCCAATTGCATGATCAATAAACTCGGATGGAGGTGATGCCAGTATTGTCTCAATAGCTTTAAGTAGGGAAGCATAAACCTTATGCTCTGTCTTAAGGGTCTCAAATTCAGAACTACTAGATCCAACAGATGATTCAGACGGTCTACAACCTCGTTCAAGAATACGTGCAATGCTTGAAAGTTGAGGAAACTTTCTCTCACACACTTGCTTGGAAATCCCATTTTCAATCACTGCAAATATGTCGGCGTTTAATGTTGTGTCTAATTTATTAGTCCCTCTATTCCCGCACATAACTTCATACGTTCATTTTTGGAATGTCCCAAATTAGATCCACACTTCCACATTTGGTTAATCATCTGAAGCAAAAGTCTGAAATACTCTTAACTACATTTCCCAAAACACTCAACTTTTCATACTCATCCCATTTTTCCTAAACAATCACCTTTTCTTATATCACCTACCTGCCTTTACTCACCCCACTTTTCTTAACGACCAACCTTTTCTTAAACATATCAATGTTTCTTAACACACTCACCCTTTTTTACCCACCTCAATTAAATACAAGGGCAATATGAGGACGTCAACGAAAAAAAGTCTGTTGTAGAACTGGGAAAAAAATGAACTTGCCTCTAATACCTTGTAGTCAAACAGTACGAGACAAAGGGAGTATTAGGTATGTGATAGGGAATCAAGTACTCCCTTTGTTTCCTTAAAACAGTCATGTTTCATAAGCTTTTTTTAAAGTAATTTGCACAAAACAGAATAACAAAGAATTTAAAAGTGTTTTTTAGTGACTCAAATATGATAGATTTAGACTTAGTTAAAAAAAATACATTTTTTAAATGTATGACTCCGTGAACTTGAAAATTTGTACCTTGCAAAGAATTCAAAACAAGAACAGTGTGTGACTAAACTACAAGAGCGAGAATATGAAATTTGAAACAGGCAAGGGTAAAACATAATATGCAATGCATTTATGCATTTGACAAGCAACAATTGAGCGTTAAAAGAAAAAAACAAAAAAAGCTTAATGCTTACTAAACTGACGCCATAAATGTGACACAGCTCCGGCATGAACCACATCAGCTGAATCACTGAAGGACAAAAATATGTTCACTGTCACATCTGTGTCAAGCCATTGCATACAATCAACTGTAGTTTCCATTCCCCGTGATCTCAAACAAATACCTTATGCCCCTAGAGAGAAATGAGACCATGATCAAATAAACCATCATACATGACAAACCATCACATAAGTGCAGAAAGTAGGGCTGCTGTACTAGTATCAGAATGCTCGCCAAAATTCAATCTTGTTGTGCCCTGCGTTCTTGGCATAAGCATAACTGATAACTCCAACATTTACAAGGGCGAGATTCCATCATTGGGCCCATCTTAATAAATACTCCGTAATAATCTATACCAATTCTTTTAAAAGCTTATAATGACAACGACGAATAAAAAGAAAATAAAGTTACAAATATTACTTGAAAACATTTCTTGCTGAGGATTGTGAAGCAAAGTCGTCAATGACAGCTTCGAAATAAACATTTCTCTGTATCCCATCAAGATTCAACTATTTTATCACCTTTGGAACAATAAAAAAGACAAATGAATACAACAAAAACCATCTTAGGTTTTTTGGGTGATGTTTTGTTTGAAATCTAATTTCTTTTTAACATATTTGTTAGAATTCCCAAACTCAATTCTCACATTTCATTGAACAAGACTAAAAAATTTCATACAAAATTGTAAATTGCTAAATATGCCTTGCATATACGGCTTACAGCTTTACCTTAAAAATTTAAAGCTTCACATTTCAGTAAATTTTAGAAAGATAAAAACCAACATACTGCACAGACATAAAAAAAACTACTAGTACTAAAATATTGAACGAATTGTAGAAACTGATTCAGGAAAATTCACTGATTACGCAAAACTAAATTAATTCCGGTTTCTGAATTTTGAATCTTTTGATCGCACAAAGTTCGCAAACTAATCTCAGTGATCTGATTACAAAGCTGGTTTTTTTATTTATTTAAAAAATAATAAATAATTAAAAAACTTGTACCTGATTTCGCACACGGCAGCCCAGAAGTAGGTATACGCTCGACGCCGGTCACCGTCGAAGAAAGGGCTCAGGCCGGTAGCGTCGAAAATTATCCGATTCGACCAGCGATACAGAGGCAATTAAAAGAAAAATAAAACAGAAGTCAAAGAAATAAAAGTGTGGAAAGAAACTAAACTAAGATTTTTTTTAAAAAACAGAATATATAAAAATAGAAATGGTATATTTTTATTTTTAGAATATAAATTACAATATCTATATATAATATCTATTACTCCGTATTAAATATTCATATACAGCGTCACATTATTAAAATATACTCCGTAAAATTTTATTTTAGAATAAACATATAGTGATTTTATTTTCATATTTTCTCTAAATGGTGCTTGGGAAATTCCACTTGGTGTACACAAGGAGAATTCCTAAGTTTTTTCTGAATAGGTATGATGTGTTACTTCTTTCTATTGGAATGAGATACGGAGTAAATCAATAATTAAATAAAAAATATATTTAAAATAAAAAATTAGTGTGTTAGCTTTACTATACAAAAAATCATAAAATTAGTTTATACTCTTAATATACGGAGTATAATTTAATATTATTTAATTTATTATCAAAGTCTATCTATTTTAATTGGTAAAATAAAATAAATTAGATCAAATATTCTAGTACTAACGAAGTATGATAATTGGTTTCATCAAATGAAATTTAAAAAAATAAAAAATTAAAAAGAGAATAAAATGGTTAAATTTGTGTATAAGAAAGATTAATTTTATCACGCATATCAATTTCCTAAAACTGAAGAATTCTTAATTTTATTTTAAAACCCAACTTAGAGAAAGAAGTGTCAAAAATCGAAAATATTATCACCTCCCAAATTGGATTTTCCACAACATTCTTCTATCGTCCTTAAGTTCATATTTATTTTATGATCTTAATACATTAAATTGTTACTAGTAGATGTAATCAGTCTGGTAAAAAAAGAAATCCTAATAAATATATGAAAAGTTTTATATTTCACACACCTAAAAACTACAATAACACAACTCTATATATTCTTAATAATGAATATTGGTTTTGATATTAATGATGTATCTTTTCCTTGTAATTGAATTCATAACCCCTTATTATCATTGTCAGATATCCACTCAAAGTAAACAACATACTGAGTAATGAGTATTGATTTTCCCAAGTGACTATGATGGTCTTGCAAATATGTAACCTGTTTTACATTATGATAAGTCAAACAAAGCTAATCCTTTGAAGATTTTTCGACTAAACAAACCATTTAAACACAACACCACTGGCAAATCTTCAAAGAAAAAGTGGATTTTTAATATTTAAAAAAAAAAATCAGACTTTGAACTGTCTGCTAATGGTTCAATCAAAGTGCAAGTTCAGCAATGAAAAGTGCATATCTACTTCTTCATTTCATCATCCTCTCCCTCTACTGCCCTGGCTCTTGCCGAATCCCGCCGCAACAGAAGAAGTGTGGTAATTTCACTCTGCCACAAACCCTACAAAATTGCACAATGTGTTTGAGAGTGTTGATAGGCATGCTGCCAAGTAGGGTAAGTTTTGCATAATACCACCCTCTCCAAACCCTACTTCTATGGGATTTTACTGGGATTGCCGTTCTTTTTCATTTGGGGGGAGGGGGAGGGGGGGCATTCAAGTTTGGGTGCAATGGGATATGAAAGTACTTACGTGCAACGGATTATCACAGGTTGTGGTTTCAATGCCTTTGGTCCATTTCGTATCCCCCTCTTGTGACGAGAAACCTGCAATTAATTGGCAATAGCTTTACACTATGTTTGGCTAGGATTTTGGAAAGAAAAGAAAAGAAAATGATTTTCACTCATTTTCCTCACCAAAATGGAAGGAATTTGGTTTTCCCTCCACTTGGTACATTTTGCCTCCTCATTTTCTTTTCCTTCCACTTTTCCTTTCTTTTCCCCTCTAACCAAACAAGAAAAATAGTTTTCCACTTCATTTTCTTTTCTTTTCCCTTTCAAATTCCTTGAACCAAACATCGTGTTAGAGTTTTGCTTTAGCATTTTGGAAAGGCTATCTAATGGTACTTTCAGCGTTTTCAAAATCAATTGTCACGGTAAGGAAGTTGTTAAAGAAAGAACCTTCTTTTTAGGGACGGCCATTAGTTCCATAGACCCGTTGAAGAAAGTGATATCTTGGAATCCGTAACCAATGTTCCCTTCAATCCTTTCCTGATTTTCAGGCAGGGCCATTACTGGTGGCGCTATGGGATTGCCGAAGATGATGCAGTCCATTGGAGCTGGTTGTGCAATGGCGTGGGCAAACTTATGGAAGCCGGATGTGGGTCCCACGTTTTTCCCGTTGCCCCAGCAGCTCCTTAGTGCGGCTACCCTAAAAGCCATTTCCCTACAGCTTGCCCTTCAAGTCCACACTCTCTGCAAATAGGATGAACACCATTTGTTTACAGAATTTGAGAGTCAACATGTGTGAAAGTGAAACATATATCGAAATACTCCCTTTGTACCATATTAAACTTCCCATTTTTCTCACAGAGTTTAGCAGAAGTTGGAAAAAAAAAGTGAAATTGTACGCAGAGAAGAGAAAAAAAATGTCCACTCAATGCTTTCCTTAAATAGAAAGGGAAGTTTATTTTAGGAAAAAACAAAAAAGAAAGTGAGAAGTTTATTTTGGGAATATAAGCTAAACTTAAACATCACTACAAAACAAAGATTCAAACTTTAGCCTCCTGATTTTGAAGACCAGTAATTAGAGAGTATATAAATATCCAAAACGGACACAGCCAAGAATATTTTAGCTTACTGCTGATTTTTTTACCACAATTAATTCAAAACCAGATTGATGATTTGAGTCCCCAAAAAACAAAAGAAAGACCGAGTTTAATAGCAAAAACAGCATACCAGTAAAATCACACAAATGGGGTCTGGGGATGGGAGTATGCAATTATGCATACCTTACCCCTGCCTCAAAAAGTTAGAGAAACTGTTTCACAAAGACCCCCGGCTCAAGTTTAATAGGTAGAAAAGAGTGAACGATAAATTATATGCACAATGATATGACCTATGACAGCAAGAGGTGATCTTTTGTTCAATATGTGATTATTGAAGGCAAAAGAAACATGAAATATATGAGCACAAAAAATATCTTTTGCAGCAAACATGAACAATTAATACAAACATATGGAAAATCACATCCACGAACAATTACTAAAGCCCCTCGAACCCCACCACCCCACTGTTGTCGCCGTGCCACCACACCCCCACCACCACTACCACTGTTACTGCCACCCTGCCATTACCTCCCAACCACAACAATGCCCCTGACCAAGCATGGGAGGAGGTAAGGAGGCTCCATACGGCCTCGAATCAAGTATTTTTAAGTACCTTGAGCACAAACTCAAGTATTTGTAAGTGCCTTGAGCACAAAATTACATGAGAAGTTAATTGCAGTGAGCTATCTACCACCCGAATTTCATCCAATTACTACTTTTGTGTAAGCTTTTAAGAGTGTATTGTGCTAAAGTGAAATAAACAGCTCGAATGAATTTCATTTAAGATTTTAAAAAATATTCTTGACACATTTGATTTTTTAAACCCATTTCGTGTTAAAACGCAAAAGGAAACATTGTGTTCGCTCTTTAGCCCAATATTAGGAGCTGCTGGTTGGCAGTTACTCGATGCACAATCCAAAGTCACACAAAATAAAATCTACCCCACACTCAAAATGATCAAGTCGGTTTCAGAAGTCATTTGCATTAGATCACACTTCCAAGTCAATAATTCCAATAAAAATCTGTCTTTGTCTTAGACAAGAAACAATTAACGAGTTCTTTTCAGAAATGCTTATAGTTTTCTTGAATTGCACAGTATAAACTTTGGGGATAATTGAATACATGGAGTATTTAAAATACATCTATGTTTTTCTTGAAATTAAGGAGTATAAAAAACGGATTTCTAAATACGAAATCAGAAATGAAATACTCATCGAGAATAACTCAAAACATCGAATGCAAAATAAACCAGATACATAGAAAAATAAAAGCAAAATAACTCAAATATTTCAGATTCAAAATTGAGGTTAAAGACTTACCGCTTTGGATGCTATTTCGGGCGGAATATGGACTTAAGGTCCGGAATCGGATGGCGGACGTCGGTGGGGAACTGGGGCCGCTGCTCTGTGGGCGGTGGTGGATGGTGGCGCGCCGCGCTGTGCTCTCTGAGTCTCTCAACTCCGGTTCTCGCTTGCGTTGGCGTGGGTTGCGTCGATCCAAACTAAGATGTTTGGGCTTGAACTCACATATGGAACGTGAATTTAGGCGGCCCAATTTGATTCGGGTACTACTCCGGTTCTTCTAAAACAAATCGACACATACTCCCCACGGAGTGTTATTTTCATCAAAAAAAAAATGATGGTCTATAATTAGTTGTTTTATTTTTTATTCACTTAGTTTATCAAAGTTCTTCCTCTTACATTTTTTATCTTTCATCAAAATACTTTCATTTTTTATCAAAAAATGATTTTTATTCTTACTAATAACTCTTACTCTACCTATCACAACATATTTTTTCTCTAATAATCTACTCATTACATCACACTTTTACTCATCAATTCAAATATAAAATTGGAAAATCAACTCCAAATAACATTTTTTTATTTTGGCCCAAAGTCAATATAGGAAAGATTTTCCAAGACGGAGGAAGTATAAGAAAATTCTTCTTTCTTTTGACAACAGCATTTATTGTCATAATGTAGGATTTTGCCATTTTGAAAAGGTGACAAAGAGATTTAGGAAAGATTAGAGGATAGGAACTATTAACTTCTCGAATCAGACCACCGTAGCCTCATTGTCGATCCTAATTAACATGACCTTATTATTGAGCATTGTCAAAAGGAGGGGCAGCATAAAATGGGATTGAAACATCAACAAGTCCTTCAAATAATTTTTTCATTCACTTGTGTGTGTGTGTCAACAATGTCCATGCATCATTTCGTCGTGAAATATTTTAGACGATCATAATGATTTTTTTATTGAATATAGAAGTTAGACCACTAATTCTAAAAATAATTGAAAGAAAAATTAACAATTAAATCGAAATGTAGAATGTATATAGAGTAACGATTTTAGGGCATTTATTTGTAAATTCTTGTGGTATATGTGTTCGTGTGTGTTTCATGAGCATATACACAAATAAACATATTTTCTAACTCTTATAACATTTCAAAGTGAGTCACATATAGTTGCTCATATGTTGAAGAAAAATGGTCCAAATGTATTCTACCATTGCATATATGCATGTCCGATCCGATCCTACAATGCTCATTGACTATTTTCTTACAGTACGTCAATATATATGAATTCTGGCCATTCTTAAAATAAAGTTTCATGATTAATGGAACATGACTAATTAATACATACTTCTTTTGTCTTAAAAAAAACTTTTCAATTTGACTTTCATTTACGAAATTTAAGAAAAACGTTAACAGATGAAGAAAGGATACTTAAAATTGATTAAGGGTCTGTTTGGGAATAGCTTTAGCGATTAACGTTAGCATTTTGAAAAGGTTATCTACGGACAGCGTTTAGCGTTAGCGTTTTCAAATTAATCTACACCGTTAAAATTTTATCCAAAACGTTAATCTCTAACGTTATTTCCAAATGGGTCCTAATAGGAGAATAAAATTTTCTTAACAACTATTTTTTTCCTTAAAAGGAAAGTAATTTTTTTAGATGAAACAAAGGTGAGAAGCTTTTAATGATCGAGATCCGAGAGACTAGTAAAAATAAAAGTTGTAGCTCGATTTTGTATAGAAAGAATTTGTGCAAATCACTAAAAGGATAGATGAGCCTTAATTATTTGAGATAAAAAAAAAAAGAAGGCCGGAAAACTATGTTAAATAATCTTACATTTTCGTGGTCTGTCAAAATTAGTATTCTCTCCGTTCTTAAAAACATTTTCTCTTTCATTTTTTCGACTTCCAACAAAACACTTCCACTTTCTATTAAAAAACCACTTTTACCCTTACTTTTTCGTACCCTACCTATCACATCATACTTTTTCTCTAATAATCAATCTATCACATCTTACTTTTACCCATCACATCAGGGGCAAAATTGGAAGTTAACTATAATTTTACACTTCCTTATTTTGGCTCCAAGTCAAAATAGGAACCTTTTTTGCAAACGGATGGAGTACAAGTTTGCAACGTGCATGATGCATTATAGGTAAATTTTATGGTAGACCTAAGGTCACCATGGATCAACATATGAGCAAAATAAGTGTTTCCTTACTACTTAAATATGCATAAAACTTTTTATGTGGGAAAGTCAACAAAATTGATATGCACTTAGAATGCACCAAAGAAACAATCCACATAAAAAAATATGAAAAAGTTAAACTGAACAGATATTATAAAAAGAAGATCTTTTGCATTAGGGCTAAACTTCACCATTGGACCTTCAACTTTATCAATTGTGCACGATTGGTCCTTCAAATTTAAAAGTCCATAAATAGTCCTTCAACTTTATGAATTATGCATGATTGGTCCTTCAAGTTTTAAAAGTGCATAAATAATCCTTCAAGTACACTTCAGCCCTCCAGATGAGGTCCTTTTGACAGTAAATGTTAAAAGCTAAATGGAATACTAGCTCTATATAATACGGAGTAGTCATACCTAGTGAAATTTACTCGTATTATATGAAACTAGTATTTCATTTAACTTTTAATATTTACTGTCAAAAGGACATCAAATGAAGGGCTGACGTGTATCTGAAGGACTACTTATGGACTTTTGAAACTTGAAAGACCAATGGTGCAGAACTTATAAAGTTGAAGGACTATTTATAAACTTTTGAAACTTGAAGGACCAATTGTGCACAACTGATAAAGTTAAAGGACCAAGGGTGGATTTTAGCCTTTGCATTAGTGGTGAAAATGTGATGGTTATTAGCAGAGTGCAACATGGGATGCTGGCTTATATTTGGAACCCTATCTATAAAATGCCAAATGAATCAATATGAAATTTGGGCAAATGCCATTTTAGTGCAATTGTAACAGAATCAGACCAATACCATAATATATCTGCCATTTTCTAAATATTTGCTCACTTCGTTCAAAAATTAAAATTATCGTGTTATGATGTTTGAATGAAATTATTTTCGAATCGGTCGTTTTATATGAAAAATAGTGCGAAATTAAAAATTAAAAAACATGACGTATTTATAAAGTACATTAGAATATCTACAAAATTAGAAGTGACACGACTATATTATTTTATTAAATAGAACATGAATGATGGGGCCAACTTTAACCATACATTTTTTTTTGAAAACAACCATACATGGCTAACATGTTACCATCAAATGAAAAGTGCCAACAACTTGCCCTGGTTTATCACATAAGTTAAAAGGTTCGAAAATGATATTTGGACTCGTTTGAGAAGAGTACTTTTGTTTAGGTTGGCATTTTAGATAAAAATTGAATGGTGTTGATTTTTGATAATATTAAAATTAAATGCTGCCGCTAAATCATTTTTTCAAAACGACGATTCTAACCTCAAACATTGTTATTGCTAAATAAGGCTTTCGTGTGTTTTTAACTCCGAAGATATTATCAAGTTTGAAATCAACAAGAGAATCGCGTACAAAATTTAATTGTGCGGCATTGTAAATAACGTAATTAACTCAAACGAATGAATTTCTAAGCTAGACAAATTACCTGTCACGTAATATCGAATAATAATTTAAATTATTTAAAGTTTAATAAAGATTTCGCAATGGTTTATTAACCCACAAAAGTAAATACTATGAAACTTTATTTCAACGATTTACAATTTAAAAGAAAAATGAATCTAGTTATACTACGTATTAAATTAAATTATTAGAGACGTTGGCTCCCTCAAACAAGTAATTTGCGTTATTAGATTTAAAAAAATGAATAATCTAGTTATATCCCTTAGGCCCATCTTCGATTTTCCTAGAGTTCATTTTTAAGGGAACATTAGTTTACTTAATTATATTAAGTACGACTAAAAACTAGGGAGGGTGTTTTATTAATACTCCGTATTTCCGTAATTCAATTGTGCGCTTGACCAAAATGATTAATTAAAGAATTTAATTGGAACACATACATAATACGAGGTAGTTAACTTCAAGTCTATCGATTTTCCTACCAAACCTTAACATTGTCGGGTACTAGTATATTTTATTTTTCTCAAATATAAATACCACAAAAAAAAAGGTGATGCAATCTTTAAATTATTTTGTCCCACACTAGCAAATACTTGGTCCGTCCCTGAGTGTTTGTCCACTTTTGACTTTTAAAACTGTTTATCTAACCACTTTGACTTATCAAATTCTCTCAATGTGTAAGCCTAAAAATAGTCATGTGTGATCTTGTTTGATTCGTCTTAACATATAGATTATTAATATACTCCCTCCGTCCCACTGTCTTTGTCCACTTACCTTTTGGCACACCATCCAATGCACTTCTTTAATCCATTTTATCTTGTAATTTGTATATTAAAAAATTATAAAAATTATATATTAATAATCTATATGTTAATACGAATCAAAAAAGATCACACATGACTATTTTTAGGCTTACACATTGAGAGAATTTGATGAGTCAAAGTGCTTAGATGAACAGTTCCAAAAGTCAAAAGTGGACAAAGACAGTGGGACGAAGGTAGTATAATTTTTATAATTTTTTAATATACAAATTACAAGATAAAATGGATTAAAGAAGTGCATTGGATGGTGTGCAAAAATGAAAGTGGACAAACACTTAAGGACGGAGGGAGTATTATATACTCGCTCACTCCTCAGTAATCCTCAAAATACAATATTCCTTTTAAAAAAAAAATAATACTCTCTCCGTTCCACAAAACCCCTTTCTCTTTTGTTTTTTTTGTTTTCCACAAAACATTTTCACTTTCTATTAAAAAACCACTTTTACCCTTACTTTTTCATATCCTACCTATCACATCATACTTTTTCACTAATAACCAAACTATCTCATCTTACTTTTTCCCATCATATCAGGGGCAAAATTGGAAAGTCAACCAAAATTATATTTTCCTTATTTTTCCCCAAAGTCAAAACCGGAAGGGTTTTGTGGAACGGAGGGAGTAGTTTATTTTTAATTTTAAGTACCATTGACTCTATTACAAAGTAATATTCGTTCAGACTATTCGCAACATAATGACGCACAAAGAGCTACCTTATGACTCAAACATGCATTACGGGGAGTGAGTTTACCACCACTCATGCGAGAAGTTCAAAAAAAGGACGGTTCCCATGACATTCCTTAGCAATGTCATGACCCAGGGATCGTACGATGCTCCATTCATTTTCTACTCCTCTTAACCCTCCTGGTAAACCCCTCACCCGAACCCACTGCCCTACCCCTTCAATTGCATACCCCAATTTTAATTGACTTTATAGTCAAAATTTTGGCTCCAAATCAATTAAACTTGAGGATGCGATTGAATGCGGTGGGTTCGGGACGGGGCGGGTGGGAGAGGGTTTACCAAGATCTTAAGAAGAGTAAGAACCGTCAATTTAACGAACGGGGCATTGTAAGGCCCCGGGGTCATTCCTTGACATTACTAATTTTAAATTGCTTAGCAATGTCAAGAAAATTGGGGTGCAAAAAAATCAAAGTTTATTAATATACAAAAAATGCCTGGAAGTACACACTATATATAATGTCGATTTGATCTTTTGTGTGTGTGTGTGTAATTTTTGCAGTATAATCAAATTTAAGCAGTATTGTGCTTGAAATAAGTGCACTACACTCATGGGATGGATTGCACTATGGAATAGAATAAAGTCATAAAAAAGAGAACACATGCAGGTAGACATACTCCACACCATTTTTTATTTATTAGGAAAAGGATAGTAAACAAAGCTCAAGTACAAGAAGAGTAAAGAATAAAGGGATTGTCTTTCTCAAAAAACACATAATAACATACTCCCTCTGTCTACTTAAAAAATATTGGTTGGAATATTTGCACTAAATAGTACTAAAGTATAAGTCATTTCTTAATGTAGGACTTAAACTTTTTTATTTCCTAAATAATACTTAATAATTTTTAGAAGGAGAAATAATGTCCAGTGATGGTTAACATTTACTTGAATAATGATTAATGGATAATGATTGAAAGTGCTAAATTGAAAAATAAAAACATATTATACTATTTAAGGAAAGTTATTATGTTTTAATACTATATATTTAAGTAAATTTCTCAATACTTAAACCATCAATAAATATAAATTTTAATTAGTGAGTGTTATAAAAAATTGATATATCAAGACCCTTTTGTATATTTCAAAATGAACATATTTTAAGCTTGTAAAATTTGGCAAGCTTAAAATATATATAAAGGGATTATATATTATAGAGTACAACACATTATATTTGATTGTTTCGAGTTACTTGGATCCGTATTATTTACGTTGCCAAATTACCGGAGTATTTTCTACTTCACTTACACCAAATGATGATGTCAAATTGTCAAATTATTTATTGGAATTAAACTCTAATAATGATGATACCAAATGCTATATTTTCAAACTAATAAGAATAATGAAACAAATACTCGGGTTGTACTCCCTCCATCCCAAAAAGTTTGTTACGTTTAGAAAAAACTGCGTCCCGTAAAATCCGTTACATTTCCATTAAAAAAGCACTTTTACCCCTTACTTTTTCATACCCTACCTATCACATCATACCTTTTTTCTAATAATCTACCCATCACATCCTACTTTTACCCATTACATCAATGGTATTTTTGAAAAGTCAATACCAAAACATCCTTCCCTTAATTTCCCAAAAAGTCAAACCGTCCCATTCTTTTTGGGACGGAGGGAGTATTTTTCTAATAAAGAAAAAGTATGAGGTATATTTTATTTTACTCGTACTTTTTTCTATATAAATGTTAGCTATTCGCTATTTATTGTTTTAATACTTTTATTAAATCTTGTAAAATCAAACCATAATTGCTACTGAGAGTCAATAGCATTTAAAAACTACTCTGTATAAGAGCACTGGTAATGGTTATGAAGCCACGGGGCTTCAAACCGGGGCTTCAAACTTTCTCTCTTTGCCACGTCAGCTTTAACTTACACCCAAAATTCACTGGAAATGAGTTTGAAGCCCCAGAGCTTCAAAACTGGGCTTCAAACTTTCATTTTTTACATTTTTAAATATAAATCTTCTAAAATTAAATTAATAAAATATAATTAATTTATTATTTAATTAAATTGAAACACGAATAATAAAAAAATAAATTAATTAAATAAAAAAACGACAATTTTTTTTAAAAAAACAACAATATTTTAAACCAAGAAATAAATAGACAATCAGAAATGAGCTTTAGTCCAAATAAAAATAACGTTTCTTTATTTGGACAAAAAATAAAAATGTATAGTTTGAGACAAATAAATTGTGCATTAATTCTATGATTTCTGATTTTTAAAACATTATAAAAATAAAATTAAAAAAAAACTTAAATCATTTATTAAAAAAAAGAAAAGAAAAAAGAAAAAATAAAGAAAAAAAGAGATGGGCGGGGAGGGGAAAGGAATGACGCAGCGTCATTCCTTTGACGCACGCCGGTTCACGCCCCTTTCACGCCGGAGGGGGGCGGTGTTTCACGCCCCCAGGGCTTTAAACGCCCCTTCACGCTGGCGGGCGTGATGAGTATAGTATTACCAGTGCTTTAATTACTACTCCGTAGTTAAAACTAGAGATAAGTCAAAATTCAGCTTGCCCAAAAGAATTGTTGAAGAAGAGAACATTATAATAGGGAGTATTTGTATTTGTATGGTTAGTTAAATATTGATATCGGAATAAAAATAAATATTCCAAAATAGAAACAGAAAATATTTTAATATATCGCCTCTCCCCATATTCTTTCCTTCCAAGTCCAACTTCCCATAAATAGTCACCGTTTGGGAGCGCCTCCGCCGCTCATAGTTTAAATCGCTCACGGAATCCCCGGCGGCGCGTGCACTTCAACCTCTCCTCAGTTCTTCCCAAAAGTGCACTCGTCAGCCACGCGGACCCACACTGTGTATAAAGAATTGCCCGAAGCCGCCGGGATTTAGAATTGGTGATCTTATAAGAACGGCCAAATAAAAGAAATTAAAGAATTAAAAAAAAAAGAATTATTTCTCGTCTTCTTCTTCTTCTCCGTCTTGGGTTGACGGAAAAAATGGCGATTTCTTCCCGGTTGCCGCGATTCTTGAGCGCCAGGACGAAAAAAACAAATCTTTATTTCGCGGCGGCGACCGCCGTCCTCTGTTCTGCGTTCTACCTCATCGGAATCTTGCAACACGGCGGGGCATCCAGTCGCCGTTTGTCCGCCGTCACGGTCCTCCCGTCGGTCAACTGCGACCTTCACACCAAGAACTCAATCGGGAAGAGCGATTCCTCCGGCGGCGCGTTTCTCGACTTCCACGCCCACCACGCCGCGGAAGCGGAGACGGCGGCGGAGGTGAAGCGGTTCCCGGCGTGCGGGGCGGAGCTGTCGGAGTACACGCCGTGCGAGGACACGGAGCGGTCGTTGAAATTCGACAGGGACATGCTGATATACAGAGAGAGGCACTGCCCGGAGAAGGGGGAGGCGTTGAAGTGCCGAATCCCGGCGCCTTTCGGGTACCGGGTTCCGGTGCGGTGGCCGGAGAGCCGTGACTCGGTTTGGTACGCCAACGTGCCTCACAAGCACCTGACGGTCGAGAAGGCCGGGCAGAACTGGGTCCGGTTCAAGGGTGACCGGTTCACGTTCCCCGGCGGTGGGACCATGTTTCCACGTGGAGCTGACTCGTACATCGACGACCTCGGCCGGCTCATCAACCTCAAAGACGGGTCTATCCGGACCGCCATTGACACCGGCTGTGGGGTATGTTTATTCACCAATCCCCTTCTAAATTGCTTTTTAATTATTACTCCGTGTGATTATATGAGTGTTAATATTTGTTTAATTTGGATGAAGATTTATTATCTTGTCATATCACGTGCGAAGAAGCCTTTTTATTATAATTACGGAGTAGTTCCTTGTACTTTGTCATATTCGGATTTTGTTTATGTTGTCTTCATCTTCATATCTAGGGAGTATTTTTTATGGTACATGGGAATTCTTTATAATTAGTTCCTTCCGTTTTGAGTATTTGTTCACTTTTCATTTTTTAGTTATAATTGTTAAATTTTAATGTCAAATTAAATAAAAATTATACGGAATACTAGATATTGATACAAAAATAGTATTATTAAATTTATTATATGAAATATTTTAAAAATATTATTTTATCTAATTAATATAAAATATACTCGGAGTTATTTTTTAATTATTAGTCAAAGGTTGAAAACGATTCACTGAAAAAAGTCAGAAGTAATAAACACCCCAGGGACACGGAGATAGTATGTATGTTGACAACCAATTTTGTGCTAAATATTACTCCATTATTTTTTGAATTCAATGATAATGTTTAACTCTAATTTTGTGCTAAATATTACTCCATTATTTCGTGATCCTACGGTCCACATGTAAAATGTGAAACTTTTTACATTTTTTCATGGTATGTGAAGTTGGTCTTTTCTTTTATTTTGAAAAAGACCCAATATTTTTATGATATCAATGCATTACGGTCTATAAAATGAGTATGAACTTTAAGACCACATAAGAATTTATCTTTCTTAAGAAGGTTATTAATACTTTTTTGTGATAAATAAAAAATTAAGCAAATGTACTCCGACGATGTTACTCCGTCCAGCTTAATTATTTCCAATACAATATACGGAGTATAGGACATCTGTTTAATTGAGAGAATGAATTGTAGGTTGCTAGTTGGGGGGCATACTTGCTCTCAAGGGACATACTGCCCTTATCATTTGCACCAAAGGACACACACGAAGCTCAAGTCCAGTTTGCCTTAGAGAGGGGCGTCCCGGCCACCATTGGCCTCCTCGCCTCCAACCGCCTCCCCTATCCTTCCCGCGCTTTCGACTTGGCCCATTGCTCCCGTTGCCTCATCCCTTGGGCCCAATACGGTAATTCACTAATTCAACCAAAACCTCAAATTTATTTTCCTAGTAAGGCTGCGTTCCATTCGCATGATCTGATCTGATTTTTTGAAGATCCGATCTGATTTAGTCTGGTCTAATCTGGTATGATCTGATCTGCTTGCAGTTATAATTAAAGTTGTTTCTGATCGCGTTTGATCTAATTATAATAAGAAAAAATAATAAGCAAAAAAAAGTTGAACGGAACGCCGCCTAACACGGGCTGAAAATGACATGTTCATGTTCGCATAAATATATTCAGATGGGCTGTACTTGATCGAAGTGGACCGGATCTTACGGCCCGGAGGATACTGGGTTCTCTCCGGGCCACCGATCAACTGGCAGGCCCAGTGGAGGGGCTGGAACAGGACCAGGAAAGATCTGAAGGAAGAACAAGATGGGATTGAGGGCCTTGCCAGAAGCCTGTGCTGGAAAAAGCTGGCCCAGAAAGGAGACCTTTCCATTTGGCAGAAGCCCACTAACCACCTCCACTGCAAGGCCAACAGAAAGGTCTTCAAGAAACCCCTCTTCTGCCACGGAGGCCCAGATCCTGACACCGCGTGGTACACCAAGATGGAAGCCTGCCTGAGTCCCCTGCCGGAAGTTTCCGGCATTCGGGAAATAGCCGGCGGGGCCCTCGTGAAATGGCCCGAGAGACTGACCGCAACGCCTCCGAGGATTCGCTCCGGGAGCGTCGGCGGAGTGAGTGCGGAGGCCTTCCGGGACGACACGACGTTGTGGGAGAAGAGAGTCTCGCATTACAAGCACGTGGATTCGTGGCTGGCAGAGCGCGGAAGGTTCCGGAACGTCCTCGACATGAACGCCGGGCTCGGAGGGTTCGCGGCTGCGCTCGTCGGCGACCCGGTTTGGGTCATGAATGTGGTCCCCGTCGAGGCCAATGCCAGCACTCTCGGCGTGATATAGGAGCGGGGTTTGATCGGGACTTACCACAACTGGTGCGTACGTGCCCTTACGTGTTACTACTTTAGTGTCATATGAACTGTCCATTATGCTTTTTTTTCAGATACGTTGAAAACTGAATGAATGTAGACACGATGTATGTCTAGGTACATTTATTTAATTTTCAATGTATCTAAATGTTAACGTGTAAGTAAGTGTTGTTCAGGTGTGAAGCCATGTCAACTTATCCAAGAACCTATGACTTCATTCACGCGGATGGCGTTTTTAGTCTTTACCAAGACAGGTAAGAACATGCCTTACCAAATGGATGTAATGTATATCATGAAATTTTAACATTTCTGAAGTATATTTCTGATAATGTGGAACTTGCGAGTTCTTAGCAAAACAATATGAGGAATCCTGCAGTACAATTTCAACATGTTATTTGTTTTTCAACAGATGCGAGATTGAAGATATTATGCTGGAGATGGATCGGGTATTGAGGCCGTTAGGGAGCGTGATCATCCGAGACGACGTGGACGTGATGGGGAGCGTGAAGAGCATCGCGGACGGGCTTCAATGGGAGAACCGAATGGGGGATCACGAAGACGGTCCTCTGGTGAGGGAGAAGATTCTGATTGCAACAAAACAGTATTGGACAACCCCTTCTTCTTCTGATGTCAAGAACCAATAACAAGGGTCATATACAATACAAGTTCATAGTCTGGATTTCTATTGGGTTTAATATATTTTTTTTGTTCATAGTTTTTTTCTTAAAATTATTATATATAATTTTGTTTTTTTTTCATTTTCCAATGAGGTTTCAGCTGCACAAACAGTTGTTTTCCTTTGTCATTTTACAAGCATGTTGCAATTTTATTCGTGAGAATATAATCTAATTGATGTAACTTTTAAGTTTACATTGTGTGGGTAAAATGGACCATTCTCCATTAAAAAAGAATCATGCACTGATGGTAAATATCAGTAGTTCACAGAGCTGCTACCTATATAATTCCTTCACGATAAAAATGATGGTAAATATCAATATTGTGAATTGCTCTGTATAATTACATGTCATTTTTTTGTTACTACTACCTATACTTTATAATTAATTTAGTACTTAACCAATTTTAAATGTAGAAAATACATAGATCTATTTTTAAAACTACTTTCACTGAATAATTAAAATGCTTTGATCTTTTTTATGCAAGATGGTTTAAAAAATAATAAAAATAATAATAGGGGCATGTCGCCGGTGGACATTGTACGTGCAGTTGGCAAAGTAATGAGTGTCAAGGGGGTAATATCTGAGTTCGATTTCTGACAACTGCGCTGGGAGACAACTATGCTAAGTATAGTAACTATGCAAGTGTCAGGAGCAGACTTTACTATTTACCACCAATCTGCAATTAAAATCTAATTTACATCCTCTCAATGACGATCAAGATAAAACTCGTCTTTTAATAGCAGGGGCATGTAATTTTCTTAGTGGGGTATATTTGAAAGTGACTAGGGAAGCTGCCCCTAATCCAAAACACATAGATGATGATGGATACACCCCCGTAGTAATTAAGGTCTTTCTAATTTCTAAAAAAAAATTATACTCTCTCTATCCCATAAAGTCATTCACGTTTCAAAAAAATTGTATTCTTTAAAGTCATTCTCATTTATATTAAAAAATCACTTTTACTCCTTATTTTTTCATACCCTATCTATCACTTCATACCTTTTTTTCTAATAATCAACACATCACATCATACGTACTTTTACCATCACATAAAGGATATTTTTGGAAAGTCAACACAAAAATTATCCTTCCTTATTTTTCCAGCTTAGTCAAACCGTCCCTACCTTTATGGAAGTATGGAACCGTGGGAGTAAATTTTATGGAAAATGAGTTTCTTTAGTAATTTAATTTGTGCTAGTTCTTAATAACAGAAAGCTTTTTATATATTGTCTTCGACTTTAAGATACTACGTTTCTGGAATTTTGATATTCGATATTTGAAAATCATTTTAGAATCAATCATTTGACCAAAGATATTATTTTTAACATTGTCTTTAAATGAGTAATATTGGATCAGTTTTTCAATACTCCACATCGAAGAACACAAATACATTAATTACTATCCATATTTCTACTCTAATTTTTATCCATTAATTATTATCTATATAAATATTTTATTTCAATTTTTTCAATGATCCAAGAACAAATTTGAAAAGTTATTTTTATTTTTCTTAAATTTGCACATAAAATCAAAGCGGAAAGATAATTTTTAGACAAAAGTAATATCATAAAATATCCTTTATATTTTTTGTGAATCCTACATAATTAATTCTGAAAAGGTATTCTACGGTAATTATATGGTATAGCCGGATGTACTTTCTATTGGCACCATATGACAAATTTGTATTTAAAAAATACAAATTTGGGGCCCGATTATGGCCTTGATCAGGTTTGGATCGATGCAGAGGATCTCTGGGCAGAGAAAAAGAAGAACAGGCTCGAAAATGATCTCAATGATTTAATGGTATGGTACACTCTGTCACTCTCTCTGTATAATCCCAAATTTGATTGAATTAGATTTCCTTGTGTTTCATAGTTTTCTCTTTGTTCTTACAATGTAATATTCTGTTTCTAATTGTTGGAAAAGAATAGCTTCTTAGGTTCTTCGTTTAGTTTAATTTCGTTATAATCATTGGTTTACAAATCCAGGTTTCCACATTATGTCTCACTAATTTAATGATGAGATGGTGTTTCCAGGATTCTGTTTAGTACTGAGTACTGTAATTTTTATATAATGATTGTAAATATGTTAGTAGAAAAATGTTCCAGCAGCCTTTGGGAAAGATTAAGGCTTAGAAAGAACATCCATTAAAACTTGGGGTGCTAAATTCGTTCTGATATACTCCGAATGTTTGTATATTCGTTCTAATATAAGAACAGTATACTATGGAGTAACATTCAGTCTCTCTCTTGTTATACGGAGTATTATTTCTTTTATACCATTATTATAATTATTTGTTTTACGGATGAAACTATGTTATGACTTAACTCGTTTGGAATAAGCAGATAATGAGCTATTATATTGTACAGTCCTTTGATCTTGTTGGTTCAAAGTTTTAAGTAACTTGCTTGAATTTATAAATTTTAGGATTTAGCACTCGGATATAATATTCTTCGTTTTCTTGTAGTTTAACTGAAAAAGGCATAGTTTTTTCCCCTGGGTGGGTGTTTTAAGCAGTTTTTGTTGCATGATGGGATTCATGTATGTTGCATTGTCCGTGTTATTTGAAGTACTGTTATTGTCAATTAATCTCTCAAGTGCTGCTATATATATTGAGGACATCTCACGCTTCTCTTACAGAAAAATTATATAAAAGAGAGCTTTAGAATGGGATTCAATGAGTTTGGAGATTTCTATTATAGCCGCGGTCAGCTACCAGATTCTCTCAAAAGTTATAGCCGGACACGCGATTATTCCTCAACATCAGATCATATAATCCATATGTGCTTGAACGTGATTCTAGTTAGCATTGAGATGAGCCAATTTATACATGTTACAACCTATGCTAACAAAGCAGAGCAAATCCAAGATGCTTTAGATCCTATTACAATGTCCAAACTTCGTTGCGCTGTTGGGTTGGCACACTTAGAGGCTAAAATGTACAAGCTCGCTGCTCGGAAGGTATGCTTATTATTTCTCATTCTGTCTTATTTTTATTCCCAAGCATATACTATTTCCAAATGTTTGGGGACATTGATGTCTTACCTCAATAAGAGTTTACCTCAACAAAAAAGACCCCAAAAAAATGATAAGAGTTTTAAAAATACCAGGTATATATACATTTTCAAAGAATGGTTTACAAAAGCATTGCTGACAATTATACGTGGAAGTTGGAACTAATGAGTCGTTTAGATATTTAACTCTTAATGTTGCCTACCTAGTCATTTTGGCATAGAAAAGCCCCCGCCCCCCACCACCACAAAGAAAGGCTAAACAGCCATTTAATATTTATTTACTCCGTAAATGAGTACAAAAGGGCTATATTTTGTTGTCATTGATAAAAAAAATTATTTACTGTTCTTTTGGGCCTTTGTAGTTTTTGGAAGTTGGTCAAGAGTTGGGGAACCATTATATGGAAGTAATTGCACCCCAAGATGTTGCAACATACGGTGGCCTTTGTGCACTTGCAAGTTTTGAACGAGCAGAACTGAAGGCAAATATGATTATTCTTAAATTATTGCAGTTTAAATGTGGATTTAGCCTCAAAATTTGTTGGATTGTAATTACTATGTGACTGTTGTTTTTGTTTGCAGAGCAAAGTTATAGACAACGTTAACTTTAAGGTTTTCTTAGAGTTAGTACCTGAGCTGCGGGAAGTTATTCATGATTTCTACGCATGGTAAGTTGACTCATTAACCCGCTCTCCCCCCGATATGTATGTTTGGTTTTCAGGAGATAAGAACAAAATGGGTCAGACATAGATGGAGAAGAGAGAATTGTGGTAGATTCTTTCCTGCTGGTTGGTTGAAATAAACAGGAGAGAAATAGAAAGCAAATATGTTTATGCTATTTTTGAAATAAATAGAAAAAAATATCCCTACATACTGAATTCAAATGTAAAGCAAGGGTATGGGCAAATGGAAAAATAAGACTCCTAATTTCCTCCCTCATTCTTGAGAACCTTCTCATTTACTTATTATTTCCTCTCCATTTTTTTGCTTGCCAACCAATGGAAAGATGTCATTTATGTACGTTTTCTTTCATACCCATTTGTATCTTCCCGGTTTCCCCTACTAACAAGTAACAAATGCTTATAAAGTTGGGTCCCTGTTATACTTGTCTTTCTAACGTATTTCATTTGTGAATGCAGCCATTATGCTTTGTGTCTTGAGTACCTAGGAAACCTTAAAGCAAACCTTTTGCTTGATATCCATTTGCATGACCATGTTGAAACACTGTACAGTCAAATCCGTAACAAAGCTCTCATACAGTACACTCATCCATTCGTCTCCATTGATCTGCACCTGATGTCCAATGCTTTTAAGACCACTGTTTCGGGGCTGGAGAAGGAGCTTGAATCTATGATTACCAATGACCAGATAAAGGCAAGTTGGTGAATTTTCAGCCCTGATTATTTCTACTTCTTTGCACGACCATGGATTTCTTGCGGTATTTGGTCATTTCCAGTCACTTATGCGGCGAAAATCAAGCATAAATTGCCCAAAAGCCGCAAGAAATCCAGCAATGCAAAGAAGTAGAAATAGTAAAAGTTGGGAACCAACATAATAGTTGTTTCCTATGGGTCAATAGTGGGATTCTTTCTTCTTATATTTCCTCATATTTTATATATCTACTTAAGAAGGCATTATCTTTTGGTCCTTTCTGGTGACTACTTACTCAGTGAATATCTACCAGAATTTAGCTCAATAAGTGGTTGGAACTTGGAAGCACCAAAATTCCAAAATGAAGAACACGAATGACCTAAGATTTTACACAATCAAAAGTGGAAAATCTTATTCCACATTTCCTAATATTTTCTACTCCGTAATTTCTAACGAAAGAAGAATTGGAATTTGTGCATTTTGTGGACCAGAGTGGTTTAGGAGTGGCGCACTAAAAAGCATTTGTGGTTCGTGCAGGCTCGCATTGACTCCCACAACAAGATTCTATATGCACAGCACGCAGACCAGAGGAAAACAACGTTTCACAAGGCTCTGCAGACCGGCTGGGAGTTTGACCGGGACATGAGAGCTATGCTTTTGAGAGCAAACCTCGTGATGCGCGAGCCGAGCTCCTTGAAACAACACCGCCAACAACCTAGTTTGATCCCACACAAGTAGGGTCTGGGAACACAAGAACATATAAATATATAATATACAGATCACATATACGATGACGTGAAAAAAGGATATGAATTCTTAATCTTTTTCCCCCTTCATTTTCAGGAGACACCCACCACAGAGTATATAATCCTATGCTGTGTTTTTCCATGTGTTATATAATGCCAGTAATTGACTAATTGCTTTAACACAAAGTCTGCAATGTGTAGTGTGTATACCTGAAAAGTGTTTATGCATCTACGAGTAGGAATAAAGTGTAGTTTGTATACCTGAAAAATAAAATGTGACCATAGAAAATGATAATTTTAACCTTATCTTATTTTAGTGAACCTAAACAATTTGAAGGAATAAAGGTTAGAAGTAATTTTAGAAACCATGTGTTATATATGATGTGATATTTTGATCATATCTCTATTTATTTATAAATATAGATTATAAAAATAATATATTTCAAAACCATGTTTCAAAATAAATATATTGATAAAAAATTTATATAAAAATTCAATATATTTTTTCTGTAGTATGTGATCAAAGTTTAAAAAGTTTGACAATAAAAATTAAACTGGGAAGTTAATTTTAGGATAGTGAGTACTTCACAGTTACACATAAAAGAAATAATCTAAGAACCACTCCGATCTGTATGAAATAACGTTCCACTAACACTCTTAAAATAATTCCAATTTATTCATAAAAAAGAATCAATTTCTTTATAAAGGAAGGAACTGTTGGTTCTTCATATTTCTCCCTTTTCTACACATTTATTTTATTCATACACGTTTTTATTTCTTTAAAACATTTTAAATGTTCCAATAAAATATTTGTAGGACAAAGTGTATTAACAATTTTAAACAAAACAATAAAATAAGAATACTTCTTAGTACAAATTCACTACCAACACTACGAAGTACTCCATACTATTTTAATGTGATAAATTTTTGTTATTTTATGAGTAAATTCCCTCAGGTATTTTTTAAATTAGTCACCAAAATTAATTAATTTCCAAGATAGTAACGTTAATTAAAAATAATGCTCAACTCAGTCCCCAACTAACGACTATTAAAACGACGATAAACTTTATATTACTTCCCCAAAATGATTCTCCGTACTTTCTAACTAGTATTTTTCAAATTGATCCATTTTCGATATAAAAACATATTAGTTGTGGAAAAATATTTTAAATTCTGTAATATGGCAATATAATACTTAAAACTATAAATTTAAAAGTAAATATTTTCAATTATTTATAATTATTTAGAAGAATAGCATGTAAACAAAATGTTTAATAATCGTTAAAGAAATCGGCATAAATATAAGTAAAACATAAATGAAGTACCAAAATATAAGCTCTTTTTCTATGTTTTACTCCTATTTATGATGATTTATTCAACATTTATTAAATATTTTGTTTACATGATATTTTTTTAAATAATTGTAAATAATCTAAAAAGTTACTTTCAGATTGATAAAGTTATTTTTATTATTTTTATTATGATATTATCATCCTATAAAATTTAAAATATTTTTCCATAATTAATACAGAGTATATTTTTATTTCAAAATTGACCAATTTGAGAAAAGACGCAGTTAGAAACTACCATCTTGGCAAAGTAGTATAAGGTTTAACGTTTTTTTAACATTTTTTCAATGGCCGTTAGTCAGGGGGATTGAGCCGAGCATTATTCTCAATTACCGAGTATCATTTCGAGAATTAATTAGTTTTGAGAATTATTTGAAAAAACACATAGTTATTGAGTAATATTCTGAGAATATATTTAGTTATACGGAGTAATATAGATTTAGTACAATTAAGTTTATTTTAAAATATAATTTTAAAAAATATATTTTTTAATATTTAATTATTTTAAATTATATTTAATTCGTGATGAAAGAATATAATTTGACTAAAAAATTAAGTGTGGTTTTTTAGGGAGAGAAAGTATTTTTGTAATCTCCTAAAAGTTTATCCTGATGTATCCCCATGGTTCTATACTCTTCTCCCAGATTACAGTACTCCAAAGATCACTCCCTAATCTCTGCCATTTTTGTGCTTCGTTTGCTTCACTTAGTCTTCTTCATACGCTCAGATCTTCAAATTAAATGTAGGATTTCTGGTGTGCAAACGGCGAGATCTTGATTACAAGTGTTAATGTGAACACGCAATGGGCCATTTGTCCATACATTCCTCCTCGAAGCGGAAGCCGCGGCGGTGGCGGCTCCTGGACTTGGTGACGGCGTTCTTATTCTCCGCCGTCTTTGTTTTCTTCCTCCTCCTCTTCACGCCGCTAGGCGACTCGCTCGCGTCGTCCGGTCGCCAGTCGCTGCTGAACTCATACGAGGGCGCGCAGCAGCGGAGGCGCCTCGCCGCGCTCATCGAGGCCGGACACAAGCCTCCCCCGATCGATGTATGCCCCGCCGATTACTCCGACTACATGCCCTGCGAGGATCCTAGGGCGCGCCGGGAAAAGCATTGCGTCTTGCCTGAAGACGCGCCGCTTTGCTTGATTCCGCAGCCTGGTGGTTACCGAGCTGCTGTTTCGTGGCCGGAGAGTTTGCACAAGGTTTATTGCTAGCATCCTCGATTTGGATGTGATTAATTACTGTTACAATTATTATGTTAAGTTCTCAAATTATACTTTACAGTTTTAGTACCAGATCAGCTAATATAATCTTCACTGAACTTAGAATTGTGGAACCAACCATCCAGAGAGTGTCTAAAAAAGCCATCCAGTGTTCTAGTTCATCTAGAATAGCTTTTCTATGTTGATTATATCTGCCTGCATCTGTTATAAAGTTCCAATTGTCACATTTTTTGTCATTTATTGGAATGGTTGGGGTGATAGTGGTTAAATGCAGATATGGCACGACAACATGCCTTACGAAGAAATTGCTAACTGGAAAGGCCATGGTGGAGGGGGGATGAAAGAAGAAGGTCCATACTTTACCTTTCCTGAACATAGTCCCATGTTTTCGGATGGAGCACAGCCGTATATTGATAAACTCAAACAATATATTCCTATAGCTGGTGGAGATCTGAGGACAGCTCTTGATATGGAATCTGGGGTGCAAATTCAGTTCTTTTTTTTCTTCCTTTGAGACCATCTATTGATTATATCTGAAAATTTGTTGCTCTTGCTAACCATAGGTTGGGAGCTTTGGAGGTTTCCTACTTGCTGAAGACATGCTGACCCTTTCTCTTGCTTCTAAAGGTTCGAATAAACAACAAGTACAGTTTGCGTTGGAACGAGGAATACCTGCATTTGCTGCTACTCTAGGAACTTACAGGCTTCCATTTTCTGCTTTTTCATTTGATTTGGTGCATTGCTTGAAGTGCTCAGTTCCCTTTACAACACACAGTAAGTTTTTTAAATTATTCTCACTGTGACATATAATTACTATTTCTGATTCTTACAAAACAATATAACATTGCAGATGCAACCTACTTTATTGAGGTTGATCGGTTGCTTCGACCGGGAGGCTATCTTGTCATTTCTGGTCCTCCCGTACAGTGGCCTAAACAAGATAAAGAATGGACAGATCTCCAAGCTGTGGCCAGATCGTTGTGCTATGAGCTGATTGTCGTGGACGGTAACACTGCCATTTGGAAGAAGCCCAACAGGGATTCATGTCTTCAAAAAAATGAATTTGAGCTTGAATTGTGTGATGACTCTGATGAACCAAGTGTTGCATGGTTATACTAAGATACATTCTTGGTTTTTGCAGTTAGATTATTGATGAATCATTCACCTCCTCATTTATTATCTACATAGCTGATGGAACCTTGTCTAGTTACCTGATTGTGTTTGGTCATCTGAATGGATTGACAGGTATGTAAAGCTGAAAAAATGTGTCAGCAAGTGCTCTTCTGCAAAAGGAAATATTGCTATTGGTGCTATTCCAAAATGGCCGAAGAGGCTGATGAAAGCTTCTTCTAGGGCTGCTGCATTGAAATATGGATTGGACGTTTTTGAAGCCGACATTAGAAGATGGGCAAGGAGAGTGGCATACTATAAGAAAACGTTGAACCTGAAATTAGGGACTCCAGCCATACGAAATATCATGGACATGAATGCATTCTTGGGAGGCTTTGCTGCAGCATTGTCATCTGATCCAGTTTGGGTGATGAACGTGATTCCTGCTCGTAAGCCTTTGACACTTGATGTCATCTATGATAGAGGTCTTATTGGGGTTTACCATAATTGGTAATTCATTCTTGAACTTTTCAAGTCTTTATATAATTCTCTTTTTTGTATTCAACCATCAAAGTGTGGTGTCATGTTATTTTATGGAACTGAAGGAATTGATAAATGAAGTGCCCTGACAATGGTAAAAATAGCTAGAATATCTTAATCACACAATTGTTCGCAGTGACGCAGTCAACATTTGACATGCTGGCTGATACACTTGCAGTTTCTAGCACTTGGCTAGAGTGTCAACTTCCTTTGAAGTACTCTGCTATGACTTTTTGAAGTTCTGCTCTCTTTGGTTGACACTTGACAGTTAAAAAAATTTAATCAGCTGTGTTTTGGAAATCATGGTCTTAATGATGAAATCAACACAAACCCCTAAGGCCCTAAAAGAAGTTTAAGAATTTGAAGTTGTTTTGTATTATTTATCCATGATAGGTGTGAACCTTTCTCTACTTACCCCCGGACTTATGATCTGATTCATGTAGCAGCTATTCAATCTCTCATAAAGGATCCTTCTTCTGCCACGAGCAGGTGTGTATATGATTTTTATGCAAAAATGTCGTTCCTTCCCTGAATTATGTTATGTAGCTGTTTTACTCAATTTTCAATGTTAGGGTTGTGTTCTCGTCTTCTCGAAGTTCTTAACCATGCAATTTTGATCCTTCATACTGAAAGGGCTAAAACTATGGTCTGTTTTGAAGCAATGTTTGCAATTAGGGTTTGTGTTTTGAATACGTATTAATGGTATATATTAATTTTAAAAGCTAATGGAAGCCGGGCTCTAAACCATTTCCCATTTATTCAATCATAAGTTTGGGATCAAGTGTAGGATTTTGAAAGACTGAAACAGACGTAACATGGTTAAGAGATTTAGGATCCATTCATAATCACATTGATGACTAGTCAATTTCTTGGAGTATGATGTTTCCCCATTTGATCATGCTCTAAAGTTTTAAACTTTAAACTGGTGTCATCTAACAATTCATAAGTTCAAGTAATACAGTGAGCATCCAGTCATTGACCGTAGGATTAGTGAGAATGAATTCTGTTTTATGAATGTGTCTGGATGTGCATATTGTGTTATTGTTTAAATGACTTTACATAGCATAAAAGGAACTGCAATTGGACAAGATTGTACATGGATCAGAATATCAATATATGTAGTAAATAACTTACTTTCTGCTTCCCAAAATAAAATTATGTTTTTTTCCACAAAATGTGAAATTGCATGGTTGAGATTTATGCATAGGAGAGAGAAATAATGTGAATCATTCAACACTTTTCTTAAAAGGAACAAGAACTTTATTTTGGAATGTTCTAAAAAGAAAAGTGACAACTTTATTCTCGGATGGATGGAGTACATTTTTTGTCAAAGTTTACAGGCATTTGCTGGAGCTCAACCTTTGCAAAATCTAGGTCCATACATTCTGCCTTTTTTGTCCTTTGTATCTTTTAATTCAATAGATACAGAACAGTGATATATTCATCCGGAAAACCACTTGCAATTTGCAGTATGCGACTTTGCGTTGCATTTTACTTAAATGTCAAGTTATCACCCATTAAACCTTGTAATTGGGGTTTTGAAGAAACCATACTCTGTTGGGTAAATTCTTTTGGGCTTTATTTGTTTACAGGTGGAAATTTTTTCTGATTTCTCTCATTCGAATAAGGAAAATATTCTCCTTGGTTCAATAGACTTTTGTGGAAAAATTACCACCCGTTTTTAAAACTAGGAGTTATTTTCCTCAAACAGTTTTACATTTCCTATTTTTAGTGAGTCAAACGCTATATATCTGTTATACATAGAACAACTTGTTTTCCTCTGAAAATATTTTCAATGTCATTTTCCTACAAACAAACAAAGCCTTAGCTTCTAGATGTTAATGTATTACATTATGGTATAATAATCCAGTTTTGGGGCTTTTTTTCTTGGGCCATTTTGAACCTCATAATCTAGACTATAAAATCTCTTACTTTTGCAGGTGTGACCTTGTCGATTTGCTTGTGGAGATGGATAGAATTTTAAGGCCAGAAGGAACAGTTGTCTTTCGGGATTCACCTCAGGTGATCCGTAGATTAGAACGAATCACTCAAGCTGTAAGATGGACTTCAAGTATCCACGAGGACGAGCCCGGATCACCGGGAACAGAGAAAATCTTAGTAGCAATAAAGAAACATTGGACACCAGATTCCTCATCTAAGTGACGGCGTTGTGCCCCATTTGTCTCAACTTCAGGTATTGTTTGCCTATCACCAAAACCCATACCAAGTGTCTGGTTCATTCTTTTGTTTGATTTTACATTTTTACCCCTACTTTACTTCCAAATAGGGGTAAGGTAAGATCTACATACCCCCCCCCCCCNCCCTACTTGTGGGATTTTACTGAGTTTGTTGTTGTTGTAAGCTCATATCTCAAACCCCCTAAAAACCGTTCGCATATGGGAAGAAGATTTTGACCCAAACACCATAAGTTAATCGTACCAATCTTATCCCAAACGTCTGGCATGTTACTCAAACTCATACCCGACACCCGAACGCGAACCTTCGGGTATGATACTCGAAACCCATACATGTAAGAGAGGGACATGTTTTGTTCCTTTTTGCTACAGATTGTTTCCCACTGTAAGTGTTTTTTTTAAACCGATTCTTTTCGTGCTGTTTTGTTCAAGTTGTGGAAGGGAAGTAGTGGAAGAAATAGAATGAAGGTGAAGTGTACAAATACAGAAATGCCTTTCAGCCTTTGTAATTCATATGTCACAACCTTGTAAAAACCTATGTTCATTTGACAATTATGTACTTTATCTTATATATATGCTATATGCTCAAATAATCATGCCCAACATGTTTATACTACGAAGCGCTTTCCTTGTACTCTTTCCAACCGAACCTATTCGATATTTGTTAGTCATTAGAAGGCTGGTGTCTTATACTCTTATGTCGTCTATAAATAGATTTCTCCGGTACGTGGGGATTGAGATCTGAAATAATTTTCTTGAATCTACTAAATGAAATAAACTTTCATTTTATCTTTTTCTAAAATCTCTCTTTGGCTACATTCTAACCACATGTCTTTTACTCTTCAACATTTTTCTTTGACTCTGAGAATCCAAAAGGTCAAAACTCAATTAGACTACAATGGTTGACTAAATTTATCATTTCTTCCTTTGTCAGAAAACAAAAGTCCCGTTTTGGATTACGATGGTTGGCTAAATTTATTACTTGGTATAAATTGGATTTATTTAAATAATGGTATATCATAATATTATTTTAAAATAAAAATTATATGCTTAAAACTGTATTAGAATGTGAAAATAAAAATTGAGATAAGGTTTTTGAGACGAAAAGAAAGATAAATAATGAAGCAACCAATAAATTACTTTTGGTGATGTGAGTTTTATTAACATAAAACATTTAGTACAAAACGAGAGAAATAAATATTTTTTAACACTTATTAACAAAATAATAAACGAAATGCTCTCTCCCAATCTTTACAACAAAGCATAATAACCTCTATTGTTTTTTTATAATAAAAAGACCTGTGAGTAATTTCAACAAAAATCGCAACACTCTACATTAATTTTCTCATGAAACAACACTATACGGACTATTGGTAAACTCGGGCCGGGCGTTTTAGCCCGTGGCTGCGGGCGCTTTGTAATTTTGTATAGACAAATCTGAACTCTGAAGTCCAACCCGGGAGCAGGTTCGGTATGAGCCCAAATCTGACCCGGCCTGGCCCACTTTACGTCAATATATCAGATTTTCAGATCTGTCCACTTCAACATGTCCCCACCAGTCTAGCTAATCCAGTGCAGCAGAACTCATACTCGCAAATTATTTTTCTGTCCCAAAAAATTATTTACATTTACGCTCTTTTTTTATCAAAATTATCGTATTGATTTCAATTTTTTTATTATTTTGATCACAAATTTTGAAATTTTTGTTCACTTTAAGATGTAATTTGATACTGTATCAAATTTATATAATATTTACTTATTTATTCAAACTTATACAGAATCTTTAATTAATGATCAAAGAAACCACAAAAGTTAAAATTAAGACGACACTCTTGACTCTTGAGACGGATAGACTATTATTTATTTATTTTACCTATAAACTTTGATCATTATTTTACAAAATAAAATAGTTAATACAGATTATCAGTATCACCTAATATTTTTTAACCATTTTGGGATTGTTGGAATATTTGCTTTATTTATTTATTTATTTATTTATTTATTTATTATTAATTTATATAAACGAGTATCATTATTATATATATCCCAAAGGAAGAATTAAAATGAATGATGCTCATATTTGCTCTCAACCTGTGTGTGTGTGTGTGTTTAATGCAAATTTATTAAAGAATCCCGCCCTTTTAAAATTGGTTCAAGTTAATTAAAAGGAGTGATAGATTATAGATATGTTAGTGGTCAACATCTTCAAAAATCAAACTCTTTAAATTCCCACGGTACAATTCAAGGCCATGATATGGTGGAACTTGAAAAAAAAATTAAGGATATGTATGTATATTGGCATTTAATTAATTGAGTCACCTAGCCTTTTATAGAAAGAAAAAACATTGGTACCTAATCTCAGGGGAAAAAAATATTATATGTAAAAGATTGGTGAATAGTCACCACAAAAAAAGTAAAATGAACTTTAATCATAGATTGGCTCTTAACCTATATATTATAGAATTTGAGGAATGAGTCCGTATACATTTGCAAATACCAAAGATGAAAAATTAATCGGATATGTTATTGATTCTAGGTATGTTAAAAAGTGATCTGATTTATTTTATATTCGAGATTCTACTCGAAAATTTTAAATTATATTTAATTTTGAAGATTTGAAAAAACAATACTTGTTTAATAAAACCTTCATATTATTTGTTCCGTATTATTGTTGTATACTACGTATATCTTAAAATTACTTAAAATTCAAAAAAAAAACACCATATAATACTAACTTTATCATATACTCCATATTTTTCAAAATCTTGTTAGTTTTTAAAAACTCCATATATTTCAAAATCTTGTTAGTTTTTAATTCAAAAAATGGAATAATAATAAAAAGAAAATTAATTTAATGAACATGCCTTCTCAGTGCAAATACCTATTAGTTCGAACCCAACCTAACCGACATGCATATTTGCTCTACCACAAATCTCCTCATTTTCTTCTTCATCTTGATTATTATTATTATTATTATTATTAGTGAATGTGGAATCCTAGCTAACAAAAACTAGACACAAATTCAATATTCACTATAACTTCTCAACTGCATTTTCAGTCCACAATTCAATAAGTACTTAAACATATCCAACCAAACATGCCCTAATAAGTCTCCCCCGCCAGCCATGCACGCATGCATCTCTCACACGTACGTCCAACCAGAAGCAAAGATTTTTTTTTTACTCTAAGAAAAAAGGCAAAGATTTTACATGAAGTCAATAACAATTTGTAATTTTGACTTGAGAATTAATTAATTGCAGCCATGCAAGCATATATATATATATACTCCCTCCGTCTCATAAAGTGTTACCCATTTTGACTAAAGTTGAAATTAAAGGAGCAATAATTTTGTGTTGACTTTCCAAAAATACCCTTGATGCGATGGGTAAAAGTCGGATGTGATGTGTAGATTATTAGGAAAAAAGTATGATGTGATAGGTAGGGTTTGAAAAAGTAAAGGGTAAAAGTGGTTTTTTAATAGAAATGGGTAGGAGATTGTGGGACACAATTTTTTTAAAAGGTGTAAATCTTTTTGGGACGGAGGGAGAATATGCCAGGATGTGTGGGATTACAAATTAAATGCAAGAGATGCATATCATATTCATACACATACTCCCCCGTTTAAAGTCAAAACTGATAAATTTTGATCATTAATCAAATAAATTTTATAATCTGTAATACATATTTGATAAAAGAATAATTTTAGCGGAATCATCATGTAAAATATTTTTAAATATTTGTTTTATATATCTAATTAATATACCATGTAATTTTTATTTTTATTTAGTTATAGGTAAAATGTCGATCGTGATGGACTAAAAAAACTCAAAACTGGATAAACACTCTTGAACGGAGAGGATATCATTTGGTCAAGAGTGGTATAAATGAATGAAAATAATCAAAAGAAAAACATATTGTCAAATTAGTTGGATGAGAGCATAACTGGTGATGACCACCACATTTAATTTAAGAGATGCACTCCAGAAGCATTAAGTATTTAATACTTCATCCGTCCATAATTAATTATTTACCGAGTACTCTCAAAACAAAAAAATACATATTTTTTAGAATATTTGAGGATAGTTGATCGTAAACCGAAACGATACAAATTAAAAAGATAGGACGAAGGGGGTCCAAAAGGGAAAATTTTAATTAGAACTTGAAATGAATAAAAAATGAATTACGAATTTTTCGGGAGTTTATCATAATTTTCTTATTCATTATAAGAAATGAATAATTAATTTGGAACAAACAAAAACAAGAAAATGGATAATTGTTTTTACTTTAAAAATTAAAAATATAATGGAGAATGTAAATCTTCTTCAGTGTGCTTTTAATTTGGGCACTTTATTAATTTGTGGTCGCAATACTTGACCCTTTTGGCACAGATTTTTTCAAATCTATTGTTGACATTAATATTCTTTTTTTTTAAATAAATAAATAAATGCATGGCAACCTTATGCGGCGTTTGGTTTTTGGAAATATAGTTATTTGAAATAATGTAATTCTCTTTATTACTTTCCTGGAAGCATATTTATAAAATTAGTTATTTTTGATTTCTTAAATATAAACTTGGGAGGTTTGTCTTTTTCAACAAATTTTCATTTATTTTTATGTATTAATTCGGTTTGTAATGCGGAGTGTCTACCAATACCTTTATTCATTAGCTCAATTCTTCAATTTGTAATTTTTATTCCAAAATTATTGTTCTAGTTTAATATAATTTGTATAATTATTTTGACCACAAATTATAAATATTTCCTTTGCACTCATAAATTTTTTCTAGATACTATTTACATGGTCAAAGTAACTTATCTTGTTATTTATTTTTACCATTCATTTCATAAAATAATATAGTTTTTTCACATCTTCTTTTGTATAACTTCTCAGGTTTTTTTTACTATATAAACTTTATTTTGAATTTTACGTCCAGAATCAAATGAATTGAATTGAAAATAAAATTGGTTAAGTATTGTAACACGCAATGAGAATATTTACGAAACAGGTGAAATATACTTTTAAATGAATACATATTATAAAAATATGACATATCAAAAGTAATTCTTAAAATAAACACAACTATATGTTTTTTACTTCGTTTAATTTTATAAAAATCAAATTAGAGTGATAATTATTAATTTTAATACGGACTGTATTAATATTATCAGCTTGTAAGTTTCCGCAAAATATGCTCCTCACGCTGGGTAGGCTAGCTCTAAGAAGTCAACGACCTGGGCTCGGCCCAACAGTTCCAAATTCCAATACATGTCGAGGTTCGGCCCAACAAATCATGGCGTCAATGGAGAAAATAGGTCGGTCTGTGGGACTTATGGTGCATTACACGTCACGGATTACCTCATTCGCGGGTGAAATAGGTAACATAAGTAAAAAAAATTAATAATTAATCCCATTAAAATAAAAAATTTATGAAGCATATAATTTTTAAGAAAAATAAGAGATTAATGTTGTTTATGATAAAATCCTGCCCAATCTTCTATGTTACAAACTAGATATTTATAAAATGGAACATAGAAAATTAGAACAAACTTATATGTCCAACACAAGGTAAAATTTTCAAATTTTCATTTTTATATAATATATGGAATGT